GAACAAAATTTTGACATTTTGAGATTGTTGGATTTGCAAGCTTCCCCTTCAAGAATTCTGATACTTCCTCTTTTTTATATATTTCGGTTTACTCATCGAATGGAAAATTAACTACTCCCCATTTTAACTTCAACATTATTCCCTAACACATTTATGTCAATAAGTTCTTAATTTCCTCTCTACTGTTTTTATCTGAGTCTTCAAAATGGCTCACCCAATTTTACTTTATTATTATTTTTATTAATTAATTTAATTAAACAAGCTCCGCTTCCAATTTTGGTGTACTTGTTTTTTGATCCATGCAAGAAGGGCCTAACCCTTCATCTTAATTATAGGAAAACAGAGCCCCAGGACCTGACTACAGACTGATCAGATGCCTTTTTAAAATGTAAATCAATCAACATGGTAAAACAAATTTATCAACTAAACCAAAAAAAATAGATAGTACAAATTATATCTCTTTTTCCTTTTCTGGATGTTAAAACAACATTTTTTATTTAAACAAATGGGAAGTTTTTTTTGGCAATAGTCTAAATAGCCAGAGCGATGTCACATATTATTATTATTATTATTTTAGGCCGTCTTGTTAAACTTCATGATTTATTTCTCTCAAATATTGTACTATTGCTCCGTTCACTTCTAAGTTCATAGCCCCTAAGATAGTTTTATAATTGAACGGGGGTTACAGGTATTTTCCAATTCAATCAAACAAATTCTTACTTTCTTTGCGATATTTTGAACAAGTCATAATTATATGTTAGCACGATTCTGTCACTAAGCAAACATCGCACCTATCCGAAGGGAAGGAATTTAAACTCTTAAAAACTATGTACACACTATTTGACAAACCACGCAGAAAATAAAAGTACACATATACCCACAACTTAATTTTAAGGCAATCCCCTGGGTACTACGACTTTCCTTTTACTCTGTTTTTCAGGATGCACTTATTCACTCTCAGACAAGAATGGAAGAAATCTGATCTCTCCACCCTAAAAATGGGGATCCCTTTCTTTGAAGCACTGCAGTACTAATCAAGAATTCTAAATCATAAAATTGTCACTAAGAAAAAAATTGAACTGTGACACATATGTACAAGCTATACTTTTGTCATAATCATTTCAATTTTATTTTTGATGTACAAAGCAGATCAAGGTCTATACCATCAGCACTAGAGCATATTCTAGTTGGCGGAGCATCAACCAATTTTTCGTTTTACAATTTGTTATATAGAATGGTTTAAATCTTGTATAGAAAAAGCAAATCTTGTTCTCCTTGCAGGTACACTGCAAGAGAAACTTCTATTAATTCAACACAACAAATCAAAGTACGTACTAATTTTACAACAAAATTAACATCAAAAATCTGACACCTCTCATATTATCTTGAATAAAAAATTGTCAGTGATCCTCACCGTATGACTCTTTACTAACTTGTTATCTTCATACCTTCCATAAAAATGCAAATGGGAGGTCCGAAGCGTTCGATCGTACAAGTGTGTTAAACAAGCAAATAACAATAAAGGAAAAGCTACAATACAAAAACTGTGGCGGTCCGAAGTCGGCCAATGTAATGTACTGTATGCTATACTGTGTATAATTAGTTTTGTAGGGGTAAAAATAACGATAGTTTGTATATATCGTGGTTTATTTCTTAATATTGTTAATATTGCCGTTACCGAAAATTCGTTTTATTATCGGCTTCTGGCTAGTTTTCCCAAAAAGGTAGTAATCCGCCTCAGCTCTTTTAAGCTGTTGTAAGTAAACAGCGTTTTACATGCCGTACACTTTCAACTTTTGTTATAACAAATTTTTGAGTGGGATCGACATAAAATTGACTGTAATACTATTAATCGTTTTATGAGAGTAACACTCCTCGTGATAATTTAAAAGAACATTTTCTACCGAGAAGGTTATCAATAACTAAAATGTAAATGCAATATTGATTAATTTATAATTAAATTTGTCCGCAACTATCCTTAACCTAATGTAAGTTGTTTAAGAGGCCTCTTAGCGCTAAACCCAGCGCTGTTCCTTAATATTCCAACAAGATGATAATTAATTAGGACGAAAACTCCTTCAGCAGGATATACGATGTCGAATATTACACGTCATTGTATCGAGCGCATCAGGAGGTCGGTAAACTTTTTAATGAGAAATGCCTCGTTTAATAGCATTCTAAGCCAAAAAGTTACAAAGACATCGCCAAAATTAATTATCATAAAAAAATCGATAACAAATAAAAATTATTAGGCGTTTTCATTTTTATTTCTAGTTTTGCCGTCACTAATCCACAATGTTTAATGTCCGAACTTTTCAGATTTTGCGGGTCATTGTTGCTAGCTTAATGATCCTTTCAAAGTATTCATGTAAATCTCGGACAGTCGTAAAGTTTTGTAATGAGTTTTCAAGAGTATCAACCCTTCTCGCTTTGCAGACTAGTCATTAGACAGTAATATTTTGATAATGGCGGTCGCGTTTTAAACTGTCTGCTTTAGCAGAAATGTTCTAATGACAACACAAGACAAATTGAAAATATTCAAAACATTTCTATCCTTATTTGAAAGGAATCGGGCGAATAAAAAGTTAAAAATTTGAATGGGTGTTCTTAGCAAACCTTTCAAAGGAAATTTTATTTAAAGTTCACAAATGCCATAGAGAGTACAATGTGGTATTTTATAATGCAATGAAAACAAGAGGTATAAATTTTTTCATAACTGTTTTATACCAAATGTTGAAAAATGTTTGAGTATTCAACGAACATAAAATTGCAATAAATAATTGTTATAAATGTATGACAATTAATTAAGGTTTTTAGTTGAGATGAAAAAAAGTTAATGGCACGAGAGGGATTCGAACCCACGACCTTCGGCTAAATACGCTGCTGCTCTACCACCTGAGCTATCGTGACCTCGATCCACCCGGTCATGAACTCCGCATCTCAACCCCACCTTATGAGTTTTCCCTATTTTTGCCATTTTTCAAATGTCGTGTAATCAGTTTGGATTCTCTACGACAATTGAAATGGCGACAGAGAGCTTTAGTGAAGTATACTTCATTTTTAAATCATTAATTCCCTACTTTTGTGGTCCGCTTGACCAATTAATAAATGACAATTAATTAAGGTTTTTAGTTGAGATGAAAAAAAGTTAATGGCACGAGAGGGATTCGAACCCACGACCTTCGGTTAGATACGCCGCTGCTCTACCACCTGAGCTATCGTGACCTCGATCCACTCAGACATCAACTCCCTCCCCATCTCAACCCCACCTTATGAGTTTTCCCTCCTTTTGCCATTTTTTCAAATGTCGTGTAATCGGTTTGAAAAATGGCAAAAGGAGGGAAAACTCATAAGGTGGAGTTGAGATGGGGAGTTGATGTGTAGTGAGTGATGTTGAATTAGTTATAAATGTATGTTGAATACACGATATTAAGAAAAATTTTCCCCCTACCAAACAAGTTATATTTATTAATTTTGTTAGAAATAATTGTAATGACAAAACTAATGAATAATAAAACATCTAAGTCATAAGACAATGTAATTATTTGTTTTCACCAATTATAAACTGCTCAAAATAAGTAGGGATATTTGTAACGTATTCTTATTCTATTAATTTTAATTGCATTAACCGATGTATTCTTATCTGTTGGATGCAAAAAAATTGAAAATACAAACCAAATATTAAAAAAATTTAATCGTCATTTTAAATAACGGATTTACTTACGAATAGTAAACATGAAAAGTTTGTTCGCTCTCTCTCTCTCTCTCTCTCTCTCTCTCTCTCTCTCTCTCTCTCTCTCTCTCTCTCTCTCTCTCTCTCTCTCTCTCTCTCTCTATGAGTTGAAAAGAAACTAAAGTAAATATTATTTAGTATTTACTTTTTAATCTTGATTAGATATATATTAATAATTCATTCTTATCTTTCTTCCATAATTTGTAATCGTATTTCAATTTATTTAAACGGTTTATTTACTTTGATTGTCATAGTATATATCACTTGTATTTCTTTTTTCACATGTTATTGTAAAATCGACCATGAGTAAATCATTGGGTTCATGTAACCTGACCATGTAGTTGGAACACCCTTGTAAAAACAAAATCAAAACAAAACTGGCAATGGAGTAATTCAAAGTCACATTCCAGATCATAAGGTTAATTACATTGAATTAATGAAATCTAATCACTTTTAAGAAATTAATTAAATTTGATCTTCATGACTGGCATATTTTTTTATCGATTAATTAACCTGTTCGTACTTGCTGCGATGAAACATAACGTAAATGAAATTGTTACTTTAACACTAAGCTCCTTTTGGTTGCAAAACTTTCAGTTTAGTACATTCAATATGACGATGGGTATTATGAACTTGTTGAAAGAAATGAAAATACAACTAGAATATTTTTAATCTATACTATTTAACTACTCTAAAAACCTACTAATTGGCAATTTACTAGTAAACATTTAGCAGTTTATATTTTTCTTAAATGTCAGGCTTTCTACCAAATCTGAATGCTCAAAATGGTTCATTGTTGTGAAACTTGTTGCAATCTCATGGCCATTCAGAAAGTAGAATCTTTGTTCCTGATTTTAAAGAGGCCGGGAATTAAATTAAACGAGGTGCGAAGTTGAAACAACGTTTCTCACTTTTGAATGGGATTAAATCCCACCTAGCAGTTTCCTCTTAGCAGGCCATTTTCGGGATTATGAATAAATGTTTCATTTAAAGAACAGTAGACACCTTTTCAAGCACATTACTGAAATTTTAAAATTTAAATATATTTAAATGAGTATTCTTAGGCATTAATATGAAGGGTTGTTATCTCAAAATTACGATTGCGATCCTATATTTCTTTACCAAACAATTTATTTTGCTCTATTATAGCAAATATAAATACAAGGGGTTCAAAGTGTGTAAGGCGCGTATAACTTTTAAGGCAATTTTATGTGTTGATACATTAAAGATAAATTAAAGAATGTATTAATCGTATATTACGACTTACCCAGTTTTGGCGAAATTGCTAATGTACATTATTACAGCTTCGGAGAGAGCCACCTCGGATTTGGTGTAATTCTTAGGGAAGTGGCTGAAGCCGTCAACAAGCGGTGCACCGAGCATGTAAGGAAGTTCTTCCCCGTGAACCGTTCCCATTCTCTGTAACAGTGAAAATGTACTTACTAAAAATATAAAATTGCACTGCATGTCTAAAGGAAGGAAAATATGTCGTAATTACACGCATAATTATTAACAGCTGTGAGTCATAATCCTTAAGTATTAGACAGATAAGATCCCAAATCTATGAAATGAAAGGAAGTCGCTAAAATATAGAATGATCAAGCATCAGTTTTGTCACGGTATGAGCACCTAAAATATATTCCAAATAATTGTTGGCTAACACAAATTAAGTCAACAAAAAAAGAATAAAAATATATTGGACAACTAATTTTAAAGATTTCTGAACAAAATTAATATTTAATTTAAAATAATGAAATGCCTTAACCTATGTTACCTTAACCTCTGTTTACAGGTAAATTAATTTATCACTGAACTTTGCTTATATTAAAGAGAAACTATGCAAAAGTTGAGTTTTTGCCTATATTCCTACCGTACAAGGAGACACCGTACCGCCGACCTCGGCCAATTTATTAGAATTTACAACGTTCTGTGGTCAGTGTTACTTTAATCTACTTTATAAGCAATTTATTTAAGAAGAGTTCATAAAAAGGGGTTATTTATTATTTTCTTGGGTCAATTTCTAAATTTAAGCTTACTGCAAAGAGGTTTCCCTTTGTTTGTTCCCTTTTATCTGCGAAATAAGAAACCAACCTGAACCAATTTTGCCATCTGACATGTCTGGATAGCTCAACATTTTCGATTTAAGGAAACAGTTTTGCTTCTCTATGTATATCATTCCCGCGCCATTCCTTCTCTTTCACTATTAAATTATGATGCCTTTCCACACTTTTTTTTGTATAGGTTTACTATACGTCAGTTTTACTCTTATCTTTAAACCCACTGGCTCTACTTCTATGCTACCTGGAACGCCGTTGTTGAGGCTGTTTTATTTGCTTTAGCTATCCTTAGCCCTGCTTTTCTTTGATTTTGTGATAATTGTACTGTGTATTTTGGTCATTTTGACTTACTATATAGTATAAGATACCAGACAGCACCTTCATATGTGGTTTTAGGACAATACTTTAGGTCTATCCAATTTTGATTGACTGATTCTGCTTAACCTGCATTCGTACACCTAGTTGATTCCGGCACCATAATCCCATGAAGTATTTTATAATTTTAATTTCGCTCGGTTTGATTCGCTTCGATTTGGATTGGATTATTGGTGATGTGTATTGGTAAATAGTTGCTTTAAATTTGTATGAAAATCTTCCCGAAATTTTTTAACAATTAAATTTAAGATGGATAATAATTTTTTTACGATAATATTTCAACTACGAAGTTATATGAACCCTGTCGGTGTTTTAGAAAAAAAGCCCATTTGTAAGAATGTCTGGTTCGAATGCAGGACCGCTGGATTCGAACCCCGGACTTTAACCTTAAAGTGATGAGCGACGTGTCAACGCCTAAACCATTGCGGCCACCGACTCTCCAGAATGAAATTAGTTGTGAGCGTCAAAGCTCAATTAAATCAATACAAGACATTGCTGCGTCTTCTTTGCTTTAATCATAGAAACACTTACAAGTTAAATATAAATTCTCTAGTTTTCGTGGTCCGCTTGATGAATTAATATCTTTCAATTGATTAAGGTTTTTAGTTGAGATAAAAAAGTCAGTGTCACAAGCGGGATTCGAACCCACAACCTTCGGCTAGATACGCCGCTGCTCTACGACTTGAGCTATTGTGACTTCGATCCACTCAGACACTAACTTACAACTTTTCAAATGTCGTGTAATCTATTTGATTCTCGGCGACTAATGATATGGCCACGGAGAGCTTGAGTGAACATATATTTCATTTTAACTTTATTAAATTCACTAGTTTTCGTGGTCCGCTTGACCAATTAATTAATAACTTTCAATTAATTAAGGTTTTTAGTTGAGATAAAAAAGTCAGTGTCACAAGCGGGATTCGAACCCACGACCTTCAACTTGGCAAAAAGTAATGAAAATTAAAAAATGTGGGGTTGAGATGGGAAGTTGGTGGCCGAGTGGATCGAAGCCGCGATAGCTCAAGTGGTAGAGCAGCGGCGTATCTAGCCGAAGGTCGTGGGTTCTAATCTCGCTCATGACACTGACTTTTTTATCTCAACTAAAAACCATAATTGATTCAATATAAACCTGAAAATTCGTACAACGCGGATAGCTAAAACTTATTCTACTACTATTGATTAGTGAATCAGGTTGCTTTGTAGAATGGGAACTTTACAAATTAACAAAAATTGGTGGTTTTCTACCGTTGTCTACTTTTCAATTGATAAAAATTTAGATGACAAGTTGTCGGCCGATTGATGTTTAAGTAAATAAGAAAATTTCCCGAAAAGCATCTTTATGAATCGTCAGGATTATTTTAGAATAACGAAATAACAAATTGCTTCTTCTAACCATGTCAATAAGTGGTAAATTTTTCTATTACATTTTCAATAAAGTAGTACAATAAATCGGGATTGTATTGATCTGATGTATAATATTACCTATATACTATGAGAACATAAATAATCGAAAATAACGTCTTGACGTCATGTCATTTTGCATCGGTTCAATAGCCTTCCGGGTAGGGAAATGAAGAAAGGTATAATTAGCACTTCAGGAATGTGTTGCCCAACCCTTGACGGCCTTTTGTGTAGCTCGTCGTAGCTACCCTCATCGGCTGTTGACATTAAGGCCATGAAGAAGTGACCACTCATAGGGATCTCGTGTTACTTATGGACTAGTGCTACTCAATCTGACCGGTATCGTGATACACCCTTAAAATCAACTCACCGGCATCGCACCCCTTTCAGCCTCTAATTAGATTTACCACCTAAGCTGCCAATGACCTGGGATCGTTCAAAAAACTTTTGTTTAAACAAACCGAAAATATCATTTACGTCATATAAATATACTAATAATATAACTCTGCGTTTTTACTACTCGGGAAACAAAACTGCAACATTTTCAGCGAAAAACAAAAATAAGCAATGATTTTGAACGCAACAAACGTCTTGGTCAACAAAAGTCTTTTCTTAAACATACAAGAACAATTTAAATTTGTTCTCGTTAAGAAGCAAATTTAAAGAACCCAGTCAAGTGTATTTGTATGGGTTCTTAGGTGGTTCAATGGGTTTTATTAACTGAAAAATGAAACTAACTAACGAACTGCATTCATCGTGAAGAGAGACTCACTGAAGAGGCAAATTGTAATGATCTCATATTACATTATGACGTTTTGATGTTATTTCGTTCAGCAAACTGACTTGTAAATATAAAAGTTGAATCGTTTTATAGCGCAGTTTAAAGATAAATATGCAAACTTGTAATTTTTAACTGTTTGTTCATTCAATGATAGATCGTGTAAAATTGTTATTCCATATACAGTCTTCCCCATTATTTTTCCATTATTTTTATATTAATATAGTTTACCTGGTTAAAATGTTAGATAAAATTGTATTCCTGGTTTACGTACATATATTTTTATTATAGCTTTTTTCTGTTTTTGTTTGTTATTCTCACATCTGTTCAACTAAATAAATAATTGAATGTGCAAAAATATTAGTCAAGGTGTTAATCATGGCTAAAAAGCACTTGTGTGGATCGATTAAAAACGATATTCTTAAATCGCCAATCTGCGTGTACTGCGGATTGATTTCGTGAAAACACGAAAGAATTAACGTTCAAATCAATGAGATTAACAGACTATTGCCACATACATGGCCTCTAAAGAAAGAATTTCAAAATTGTGAACCGAAATTATTTGGTGTGTGCGTAGGTTTTCAGATAAAATTAAACTTCCAAAATACAAATGTATTTTATTTTTATTCCAAACCATAAAAGTCTGATGATAGACAAGTAGAAATTTCTAAATATGATTTTCAGGGCGTTTTCTTTCAAAAATTTTCAAACTTCTACTCTAACTTCTTTTCCTTTGAATGACTGCAGCTGGGTTAGGCCTGGCATTGTCGTGACATGACATTTCGTCAATTCAGGCTGGAAGTTTTTCCTTCAACACTGATAAAGGACGCTCTAGGCAAAGAGAATATTTGTTTCCTGAAAGAATTTGAGTGCATGTCTTATTCCTCTTTCTATAATTTAAATTCTATAATATAAATATAAATATAATATAAATTCTTAATAATTTATTCTTCTAATATCCCACCATACAGACTTTACGAAGGGCAATTCTGGCTGTGACGTGACTCGGTGTTTCATTATAGTTGCAAACGTCCTTCGGTGTTTAACATTTTCGTAAAGGATTCACATTTTATCGCCAGTGGCCAAATATTCCGGTTGATTCCTATTCATGTGTGAAACGCAACAAGCCATACTGTCTTTCTTGTTTCTGAGGAATTTCACAACGTAACTCAAAGAATGGAACGTCTTTCTTTTGTTGTGTCTTTCTTAGGTCTTTTGTTGTAGAAGTGCCTAATATATCTCTGATAGCTACATTCGACTGTATTCATTCACCCTCCAATGCGACCAATAAGTCGTCGCTTTTAAGCTCGTTAGGCGTTTCACAAAGATGATGCCTTCGATTTGTCCCTCTCTTTTTACCTACACGTTCAATTACTTCGTTTATCACGTAAATTCAACATAAATTTCGACAAGCATCCGCAGTTCTTTGTCCGTGATCGAACTCGTATAGCAAGCAATACCTCAAATGAATTTGTATGCTTCACTGTCGTACGCATCGCAGTTTATCCTAGACTTACTTTGACATCAGCTACCCCTTTCTTACCAAGCTTTTTCAATAGAGCTTTTCCCATATTAGAGCTGATGGGGCTAACTGGTAACAATGAATCTTGTTTATAAGGATGAAAGGCGAAATTTCATAAAACGAAAAAAACCCAATAATAAGTTGAAATTGGAATATTGTGTTGTAAATAAACAAAACAAAGTTCAGAAAAATACAAAAAGAGGGGCTGATTCATTCAACGGGTTAGTGTTTGTAATTTACAATATGAAAAAATGCTAAGCATAGCTGACTTTGGTTAGAAAAACAT